TTGGTGGGCTACTGAAGGTTTCCTCTATTACATTGTTTCCAACCCTTGGCTATTTAAAGAGGGGCGAATTCAACCGGCAAAAATTCCCCAGCAAGCCATGCTGGCTGGGGAATTCTGGCCGTTGAAATCCGCTCATCTTAAAGTAGCTAAGGTTGAGAAACACTGTATTAGAGTAACCCTTCAGTAGCCAGCCAACCACAGGAGAGACAGGAGAAACACTGTTCTCACTCTTCCTGTCTTGGTATCACTATTGTTGTACAGCTAAAAAAACGCCGCTATTATTTTATAATTTGGCTGGAGGTTTTTGTCTGTTTGCTTGTTTTATGTTGTTTTACCAAGGGGCAACTTTTAAAACCTCTACTATTGATATAGAAATTGCTCCCTGAACAATACAACAGAGAGGGTTGTTTTTGTTTTAAATTGCAATAAAACAAAGATTTCCTTTACACTCACAAAAATTCCTTTACTAGCTATATGAAATTGGGCGGGGTTTATTCCCCCCCAAAGGGCAACTTCGTTTGTAATTGTCATCTAATTCTGTTAAAAGTAAAGTTACAAAAACTATTTTCTTTTAAAAATATAAAATGTGAAAGTTGGTTCCTATCTAATAGAAGTGACCAAAAAAATAAACAGTGCAAGTAGTCCAGCCAAAGCAAAATCAGTAGGCTTCTACTGTAAAAGGTCGAGAAAATGGAATAGGGTTTTTCCGCCATAAATTGCCTATGTACTATATTGATGCCTCATTTAAAAGTAAGTACTCACTGGAATGCTTATGTTGTAACCTTAACCTTCTTTCTACTAAATATTACTAACCAGAGTTCTGAGAGATTTATTCTTTGGATTCTCTCTTTCCTGTCCAGAGTCTAGAAGAAAAGTCTGTCATAAAAGAGACTAGAATTTACTCTCTGAATCTATTTTTCCTAGGCAGGCTTCATCCCATCAGATTGGATTCAACAGGCCTGCCAATTTTGTTAAAAAGTCCCAGCTGATTGTGAATGTCCCATAATAATTACTTGGAGATATAGGGCTTCTGGTTTTCAAATCTCACATACAACTGAACCTAACTCAAATCAGGTGGCCTCCAGATTAGCTTGAGTCAAATGGAGCTATTTTTGGAATTGCCAAATTCCAGTCAGGGATTCTTGTGGTCAGTAAGCCATACCAACCTTGGAATAATTAGATAAAGGCCTGAGATTAACATGTCATATAGTTTCCTTGACAGATGGAAAGCTAGAATGTATAAAGCATGTGCTCACCAAAACTTAGAAATACAATAACAAATTCAATTTTAACCATATTTCCCAGATGGACTGTCACATAAAGTGTTTTAGCTGATGTTATACCAGTGCATCTTTATCTCCACCAATTATTTTAACTGTTCTATTTATTATTTAGCTGTAACTCTGTAGTGGCTGCTATGTAATTTCAACAACAAAAATTAATATCCCCGTGTTCCATCTGCTTTATCTACCTATAATCTGCAGCAATGATACAGTACCTGGATATGGCTTTTGAGCACTAAATTAGGTATTCTCTCCTTATTCCTTTGTAATTATTCCTACATGGAAGGAAATGCACAGTCAATGAAAAATAAAAACCCCATTTTTACATGCTTATGATAGTGCTTTACGTCTTCAAATCACATCCCCTGGATTTCACTTTTACTATCTTACAGTACATATTAAACTATGAACTTTTAAAATCTGCTCATTAGTTAAAACAATTTTCTTTCCAGGCAGGACTTTTAAATTTGGATGATGCAAGATGAAACATTGCCACATGCAGTCATCCTCCTATACTGACCAATGTTATAGAAGATCCAGAGAACTTTCCATTGGTAACCTTCCTCTGTTTTCCCATTACTGTACTTCTTCTGCCTTGTTTCCCTGAATGGAGGAAGGAAGGAATGAGAAAGATTCATTAAAGAGGAAAAGATGGAGTAGCTTCATAATATTTTTTGACTGGTAATGCTAGGAGCCAACTGTCTGGAAACTTCTTTATCAGTTGTGTGAGAGACATATCTAAATCAACAACATGCTTCAAGGACCCCAAGGAATAATAATTAAGAAAAAGAGCTTTGATCCTTAATGAGCTAACTTCTGGAGCATTGTAAGAATACAGTCCTTCATTTCTTCTTTATTGATGAACATTCGTTTCCTATTTCCATTTCATTTTTTACTAATGCAAACAAAGGGCAAGAGAAAAAAAGGAAAAGGAGAAAAAAAGACAACCACGAAAACAAAAAGTTTGTTTTGAGTCAAGGAGGCAGAGGACTTACATCGAAGGCTTCCTTTACACGGGTGGGCATAAGTTTTTATGGCTTGAGAGCAGGATTTCCTCAGGAACAGTCTGTTGGGGGCTGAGTAAGCAACAGAAGGGATCAGGACGAAGGTGGGAGGAGAAGCTCCTCCTCCTCTCTCTGGCCACCAACCTCCTTGCTTCTCTTTCTAATGTCTTCTTCCCTCTTCAGTGGCCAGCTGCAGAGAAGGGAGAGAGGGCTCTTTCCTGAGATCTGAAATAGGCCACGGCCCAACTGCAGGTTGTTCCCTCCCCTGTGTATGAAATGAACAGTCTTCTGATTTGACCAAGGTAACCTAGAACTGAAGTTCTTTAACAGCTTCCCCTTCTGCCCATCCAAATATCCTAGTCTAGGCAGAGGTAGTGTATATTCCCCGGAATAGATTGACCTTGCCAGGCGTTTGAGCTTTTCCTCTCTCATAACAGCTTCGCAATAATTTCCAAGGGGGGATACTTGAGTGCTGCAGTGATCAAATTGGATTGCTTGCAAGCTGCCCTTCGATTTTTCAGCAACGTTAAGAAAAGAGCTTTTAAGAAAAGGATCAGAAAACCTTAATCATCCTAGATAATAAGAAAAGGGAAACCTGTAAGGAAAACAAGCTCCTCTGCATGCTTCCATCATCATGGAGGGGCACAATCTCTGAGTAGAACATCACTGATTTTTTTTCTTTTGTAATCAGAAAGGACAAGCTAATTCAAAGAACATGTAAAATGATTGCCTTGCGCCCCCACAAATTTCCCCTATGAAATTCAAAGGGGAAAAAAAGGGGGGAGGGAACAGCTCCTAGAACTGTAGATCAAGACCGAGTTGAGGGCTAAAGATGGTATCTGTAATGCATAACATATAGTAAACTGTAGAAGATTATTTCAGTATCTGCGGGGATGGGAAAATACACTGCTGAAATAACAATAAAACTCAGCAAGAACCTGCAGCCTTTTTTGATATTTATTCAAGTCTCGCCTGTTAAGAATTCAGCATTATGAACATCTCCCCAGCAGTCTTTAGACAAATACTGTGAGATGCCTTCCAGTAAAAGGTTGTTCATGTACTTTGCAATGCAAATACTCTGAGGCAAATTCTATTTATTTTAAACCAGCATGTGCAAATACAAACCAGAAAGCTGTAAGTGCCTTTAATGGAGATGAACCTCAGAACCTTGGAAATGAATTTGTTACAAAAACAAAAGACCACGCTGTCAGTTGGATTTTCAAAGAAACGCAATATACTTGCAGACATAACACCCACAACCCTTCCCAATCTTAATCTAGCTTTCCTCCACATTTTTTTTAAAAAAATCAATTTATGTTTTTAATGTAAATTGATTTTTTTTCTATCGAAGGGTAAGATATCCTCTAAACCTGGAATCCTTATAGGGCTATTTGGGAATAATCTTTGCTTAATATATTGGGATTTATTGCAGAGAAAACAAAACAAAAGCATTTTTTAAAATGCTTCTATCAGCTGGAGATAACTGACGAAACAAAAAAGCACAAAAAACTTGAGGATATAAAAATAAAGCATAAAGTTTGTCTTGCAACTCCCAAATAGGCCATTTCATTAAGAAGTATTTAACACCAAGGGTGGAAAGATGTGTGCAGTTTATAACACAGCAATTCTCCAGCAATAAGGGAGATGAATGTGTTTATTACCGGCATTTTACTGGCATTTTTAGAATTCTTGTCCAAATGTTTCTTCTCTGACTCTTTTTTTAAATTCTAAATATCTTCTTTTCAGAGCCATGTAACTCCACTCCTATAATTTTATTTAACAGGCTGGAAAATTTGTTTTATACATAAGGGTTACGTAATTCAACATAACTACTAATTTCATTTAGTTGAACAAAAAGTGCCTAGGAAGCATGTGTAAGGGGGGATTTTTTTTCATTTAACACAGAAAGGCAAAAATTGCCCAATAATTTTTCCCCCCTTTCACTTAAGCCATCTGTAAATGCAGGTGTCTTTGCTTATTGGAAACTAAGTGAAAGAACATGGCACAAGAAGAAAATATGAATAAAACATGCAGGTGGTAAAGTCCCTTTCAGTTCTCACCACCATCCAATAGGGAATGTATATAGTCTTGAGAGGGTGCTTGAGGAATGAATAAATTATAAAAGATAAGATAAACTCTACAATAAGGACAAAAATCATATAAAGTTGAAAGAGAAGGTGGGTCAACAGGTTACTCATAAATAGAATAACAGCTGGGTTTTACTGGGCTTGTAATCTAAATGGCTGGGGATATTGGGGAAAATGATTTTGCATATTTTTTAATGCCATAAACTCTGCCAATTTTATGTATGTGCTCATGTACATGTGCATATTCTGAGTGTTGGCATTGGTCATCTCACTTATGAAATAATGCAGTAGAACCCCCCAAAAGTTTTCCTTTCACCTCAACAGTACACAAGTCATTTTTGAAAGTTCTGGCTATCAGGCATGCAAATAGCCAACCCTATAACTGAATTGAAGGGGGAAAAAAACATTCTTGGAAAGTTATTGTGTGATCACCTAGATAAATAACGCAAAGAACACTGCACATCAATGGACTCTATAACTCTAAGAAGATGGAGGTTCTGCAATTCTACTGGATAGTCTTCTGGAAATTTGGATTCCTGTACTTCCAATTCTATGGTGTTTCAGATGTCCTGGAAGGGACTTACAGCTAAGTTATTTCTATCGGTTTCTTATTTTCCATCTATTTCACTCCTCATATCTATTATATTCCTAATAACTTAAAAATAGCACCGTGGCATCACGAGAAAAGCACCAATAATTGATGATATTCCAATACTGGAGTTGAGATAAGGCCTCTTGCTATCATCATCCTTTGACACAGGCATATTTAATCTCAGTTCTGTGGAGATTTTTTGTTTTTAGGATCAGATTGTAAAGTACAGGACATGCAATGTATAATCCAATCCTAAATATTTTTAGTTGAAAAGTTCTAGAGATTTCAGCAACTCTTTTTGTAACTAAGAGCATATCCTCACCGTCCCCTTATGCTGCTGCTGTCATGTCTCATGTTGGCATGACTTTAAGCCTACTTACAAAAATCCTGTCAGGACTGAAACACTTTTGAAGGTAAAAGTGCTACCATATCCTGTGCTGTGCTCTCCCACCATTCTGTTCCAAGGAAGCAATTGCCAATAATTTTCCATCCTATGGATGGATCTTCCAGGACATACATACTTTTATATGTGTACACATATAAAGGCAGTTTGGAGTAGTGGTTAAGGCCACTTAACTCCGGGAGACCAGGAGTTCTAGTCCTGCCTGAGGCACGAAGCCAGCTGGGTGATCTTGGGCCAGTCTCTCTCCCTCAGCCCCAGGAAGGAGGCAATGGAAACAACTTCAGAAAATATTGCCAAGAAAACTGCAGGGACTTGTCCAGGCAGCCTCCAGGAGTCAACACTGACTCGAAGACACACACACACACACACAGGGTTAAACTGAATTTCTGTATTCAAAGTTAAAACATTGAGGTACACATACATCTAGGCACAACAACCAGTTTTAAAATAAAAATGCCTTTCTTGGTCCTTGCTGTTCTCTAATGTCTTCTAGACTTATGTTTACTAAGAGTTTTTGTATAATCTGAAATTAGTTGCTGGAGTTTTGTATAATTTGAAACTAGTATATATACAAGAGGCCCATATACATATATGTACATTATGTATGCATGTTGAAGCTAATTTGGCAGGAGGAGGAGGAGGAGGAGGAGGAAAGAAAAGAATGACTTAAAATGATATCTTTTAGTTGGGCTGGATTTTTTTTTCAAAGCTGTCTAGCCTCAGTTTTTTTTAAAACAACAGCAAAGAAATAATTCATATTTATTTTCTACCTTTCTTTTTTGAAGGATGGGGTCTTGTATTTTAGAATCAGAATCTTGGATAATGGAATAGGAGCTCCTTATGCCAAGTTTGTTCCTTCATTGATGAAGTACAAGATGTAGCAAGCCTTCCTGGAAAATTCCGGAGTCCAAACTACTGAAAAATCTCCTTTGGTGAATCCTCCAGGGAAGAGCTAAAAAGGCACTGGTAGTAAGGGGAAGTGCAGTTTTACCGTGTCCAAAGTGCCCTAAAACCTTTCAGTTCATTCCAAGACCCTCTGTCAGTTCTGTTATTGCTTTGTTCAGGTCTCCTAAAGGCACTCTGTTGTGACGGATCCACACAACGTTTACAGGAAGAAGTGAGGGTCAAATATACTTCTTAGACATACACAGTCCTTGTGTTCCATTCTTTACACTGCACAAGTCTCCTGTGTTGTGCCTGTGAGAAACAAGCACCACAAATCTCTCTCTGGGTTAGTCAGAAGTAAAGTTTATTGGAAGCATTTGCAAAGGCCGGTGGGCTTCATTGCAAATAAGAAGCCACACCCACATACGCACTCCGGCCTAATTATATACTGTACCTTCCCGATCGCAAGTCCTTCCCCTTTTCCCCATTGA